CTACTACTACTACTACTACTACTACTACAACTGCTGCTGCTGCTGCTGCTGCTGCTACTGCTGCTGCCGCTGCTGCTGCTGCTGCTGCTGCTGCTGCTGCTGCTGCTGCTGCTGCCGTTACCGCTGCTGCTACAGAGCGCGTGATGATTGTGCTGCGGGGCAGCAAGCTACTGATTGAATGGCTTACACGAAGCCGCAACAACTAACAGATAACACGCGAGGGCAAGCTATAGACGCGAGCAATTGAGAACTTATAGAGACAATTAGGCCTACAGCTCACGGACGCGGCCAATTCCGAGTTACAAGCGCGACCAGTTGGCACTGATTAACACGACTATTTCTCAAAATCGCAACGCGTCGGCGTGTCCTCTTGAAACTCGTAAATGTGGCCAATTGCAACTTATAGAAATGACCAATTGCAATTTTGTCGAGACAATTGCAGCTGATGGTCGCAATGCAACCGATTGAAACTCATAGACGCGACCAATTGCAATTTATTAATGCGACTAACTGTGAAAAGCTGCTTGAAATAGCTTTATTTAATTCGACAGGAAGGAGGATTGCAACTTGTATACATGATCGATTGCTACTCATTGATATAAGAATTGATATAAGAACTCGTTAAAAGACGGTGTGTGTTTGCCGTTGTCGTGTGCTAGACGGCAACTGTAGTGTGAGTGTCAGAGTCTGTATAGTGTAGTAAGTGAGTCTGCATGAGTGTAGTGTAAGAGAGGTGTGCGTGTGGAACGCGTAACAAACAAAACCAATTTGAGTCTCATCTCGTATCTGCGAGAGCTCTGTTTCGCGCGGTGGAGCCGCCATGTTTGCCCCCACCCCCACCGCTGAAACTGTCGGCATCCCCGCGCACTAGCCGCGATTGGACAGGCCCGGCTTGCGCGCGCATCTCGCAGCCACATCAAAGACAAGCCGCCGCCGCGCGCTGAAGGCATGGACTGATCTGTCCGAGTGGTGGCGGGGGAGGCGGTGCTAGTGCGTGTGCGTGTGTGCGCGCGTGCGCGCGCGTGTGTGTGTGTGTGTGTGTGGTGTGTGCGTGCGTGTGGTGTGCGTGTGCGTGTGTGTGTGTGCGTCCTCGCGCGCGCGTGTGTGTGTGTGTGCGGAGGGGGAGGGGTGACGCTACACGTGCTGGGTTCGCTCGCTGCGGTTTCCTACACTATACGCGGCAGAGGATGCCAGCGTCTCGCTATTATTGCATTTTTCCGGAGCGTTTCAAATCGTATTGACATTCTGTCGCCGACACGAGAGCTATATATTTCCCAGGCGCCTGTGCGCGCAGCCGGGCGGTGAGCACTGCCCACGCCAGCCACTCCACCTAGCGTCATCGTCACGTGATCAACATGGCGGCTTATTATACGATCTTCTACGAAGCAGTGCTAAACCCGCGCGTGGCCGTAAAGTACTTTGCTGACGCGACGGGGTTATAATAGCTAATTATGATATAATACTTATATTAGCGTACTATAGCTAATTATTATATAATACTTATATTAGTGTAATAGTGTACGTGCCTGCAAGGGGTAAGCGTGAATGTTCGTGGTGTATATGCGCGCGCTCGTGTGTGCGTGCTACATGTTGTATTTGTGTACATGTTACGCATGACTGCTCTTATTTGACTGCCTGCTTCATCTTCATCGTCGTCGTCGTCGGCGTCGGAGACGGACCGTGGTGACGGCTGTGATAGATTAGCAGACGATTACGTGCCAGCGTTCGGCGGCGGCAGTAGTTGCCGCGTCTATATCGTCTGCGTTTCTGCTGCATGCGCAGATGTTATATTGATATTTCTGCTGATCGGTTGTGTGGGCACGTACGGTTAGAATGAGCTGCGTGTGTGTGTGTCGGTCCGTATCGGTCGTGTAAGAAACTGTTTACTTATTTCAGTCGCTCGCCGATGGAAGCCATAGCACACAGTAATCATAACACGTGCGTCTGCTGCTGCCTCTAATGAGAGACAGAGAGAGAGAGAGAGAGAGAGAGAGAGAGAAAGAGAAAGAGAGAGAGATAGAGAGAGAGATAGAGAGAGAGAGAGAGGG